GGTGTCAGTTGCAGGAATAGTGCCCCATCATTGGTGTCAGTGGGAGGAATAGTGCCCCATCATTGGTATCAGTGGGAGGAATAGTGCCCCATCATTGGTGTCAGTGGGAGGAATAGTGCCCCATCATTGGTGTCAGTGGAAGGAATAGTGCCCCATTATTGGTGTCAGTGGAAGGAATAGTGCCCCATCATTGGTATCAGGGGAGGAATAGCGCCCCATCATTGGTGTCAGTGGAAGGAATAGTGCCCCATCATTGGTATCAGGAGGAGGAATAGTGCTCCATCATTGGTGTCCGAGGGAGGAATAGTGCTCCATCATTGGTATCAGTGGGAGGAATAGTGCTCCATCATTGGTATCAGTGGGAGGAATAGTGTCCCATCATTGGTCTCAGTGGGAGGAATAGTGCCCCATCATTGGTATCAGTGGGAGGAATAGTGCCCCATCATTGGTGTCAGTGGGAGGAATAGTGTCCCATCATTGGTATCAGTGGGAGGAATAGTGCTCCATCATTGGTATCAGTGGGAGCAATAGTGCCCCATCTTTGGTGTCAGTGTGAGGAATAGTGCTCCATCATTGGTGTCAGTGGGAGGAATATTGTCCCATCATTGGTGTCAGTGGGAGGAATAGTGTCCCATCATTGGTATCAGTGGGAGCAATAGTGCCCCATCAATGGTATCAGTGGGAGGAATAGTGCCCCATCATTGGTATCAGTGGGAGGAATAGTGCCCCATCATTGGTATCAGTGGGAGGAATAGTGCCCCATCATTGGTATCAATGGGAGGAATAGTGCCCCATCATTGGTGTCAGTGGGAGGAATAGTGTCCCATCATTGGTGTCAGTGGGGAGGAATAGTGCCCCATTACTGGTGTCAGTGGAAGGAATAGTACCCCATTACTGGTGTCAGTGGGAAGAATAGTGCCCCATTACTGGTGTCAGAGGGAGGAATAGTGCCCCATTACTGGTGTCAGTGGGAGGAATAGTACCCCATTACTGGTGTCAGTGGAAGGAATAGTACCCCATTACTGGTGTCAGTGGGACCAATAGTGCCCCATTACTGGTGTCAGTGGGATGATTATTGCCCCATCATTAGGTTGAGTGGGAATAATAGTGCCCCATTGTCGGTGTCAGTGGCTGGAACTGTGCCCCACTCTTGCTGACAGTGGTGGGGAATAATGCCGCGAGGGTGGGATAAGAGCACGCAAAGGGCTGCAGTTTGGAGACCACTGTGCTAGATGAACAAAGAAAGCTCACAGTGTGCACCCAGCCTAAAGTGTTTTCTTGTTCTACCCGGCATCCCTTGTATCTGACTGAATACAAGTCCTGTTCAGCAGATGATTTTCAGCTCCACTCCTTCCATGAAAATCGATTAAAAATTCAACTTTTGCCGGATGGTGGCTGCAGGGCCACCCATGGAACAAACGTCAGGCAATTCATCAGCAATCGGCCAAAACTCGATCCGTGCATGGCCAGCTTCGGTTCTTCATGGCTTCTGCTAGAACTTCCAGGAAGGTGGTGGGAAGTGGCGGTTTTTTTTTTGCTGACAGGTCCTCTTCAAGTCTTGCTCTAGCATGCTCTTTGTGTGAAGCTGTGGCACAGGCACCATAAACCATCATTGTGCTGCATTAACAATTCTCCTCCATTTGCCAGTCAGAAAAAAGGTATTCTTTGTACATCAGCCCCGGGGAAATCTCAATCTATTTTTCTGTTTTGTTTAACGTGTTTTTTGGAGTTGTCATTCATCCCTCTCCCTAGGGAAATTAAAATGACTTCCCCATTAAAACAACACAGGTTGCCTCGGTAACAGCTGCTCACTTGGAAACTCTTACAGGATGAAAAACTTGACAAAAAGTACAAATTTAATGTGAAGAGAAGAAGAAAGAGAAAGTGGAGAAAGGCAGCAAATCGCCGTAAAGTGGAACTCCCGTTGGATTGGAGCTGATGTGCCGTTCACAATCGCATTGCCAGCGGTTTTGTAATTTGATCACAAATGACCTTCCTCCCTCAGTTTGCAGCCGCGTCCAGGATTTGATAGAACAATCAAAGAAATGCGATTATTTCTCTTAGTCTCACGAAAGACAAAGATTACAGATTTGCTAAAAGTCCCAAGCCATCCGTCTGACTTCTAGGTCTCTTCTAGTACTTGTCCCAGAGCCTCAGGACAAATTACATTTCATCCTTTATGCAGCTATAAAGCCCGAAAATATTCTTCTGTGAATTTCAGAGCCCATAGACCAGGGTTGGCTACCCTTTCCACATTTAAGTGTCATATTCACAGGCATTGGACTGTTGGCATGCTGGATTAATATAGAACAGTCTTAGCTTGTGTTCAGTTTTTATAGTTGTACCGCGGACGGCGAGGGAAGACTATTAGTTTATATTATAATACATAAAGCAGTTAACTTGCTGTTACCAATACAATTAGGTGCAATATAATTAGTAGGTGTTCAGACAAAATATGTTTACCCTGATGCATGCATTTCAGACCTCCGATCAGCCCCGGTGCATTCACTTCAGACCTCAGATCAACCCCAGTGCATTCACTTCAGACTTCAGATCAACCCCGGTGCATTCACTTCAGACCTCAGATCCACCCCGGTGCATTCACTTCAGACCTCCGATCAGCCCCAGTGCCTTCACTTCAGACCTCCGATCAGCCCCAGTGCCTTCACTTCAGACCTCAGATCAGCCCCAGTGCCTTCACTTCAGACCTCAGATCAGCTCCAGTGCCTTCACTTCAGACCTCAGATCAGCCCCAGTGCCTTCACTTCAGACCTCAGATCAGCCCCAGTGCCTTCACTTCAGACCTCAGATCAGCTCCAGCGCATTCACTTCAGACCTCAGATCAGCTCCAGCGCATTCACTTCAGACCTCAGATCAGCCACAGCGCATTCACTTCAGACCTCAGATCAGCCCCGGTGCCTTCACTTCAGACCTCAGATCAGCCCCAGTGCCTTCACTTCAGACCTCAGATCAGCTCCAGCGCATTCACTTCAGACCTCAGATCAGCTCCAGCGCATTCACTTCAGACCTCAGATCAGCCACAGCGCATTCACTTCAGACCTCAGATCAGCCCCGGTGCCTTCACTTCAGACCTCAGATCAGCCCCGATGCCTTCACTTCAGACCTCAGATCAGCCCCGATGCCTTCACTTCAGACCTCAGATCAGCCCCGATGCCTTCACTTCAGACCTCAGATCAGCCCCGATGCCTTCACTTCAGACAGATCAGATCAGCCCCGATGCCTTCACTTCAGACCTCAGATCAGCCCCGATGCCTTCACTTCAGACCTCAGATCAGCCCCGGTACATTCACTTCAGACCTCCGATCAACCCCACTGCCTTCACTTCAGACCTCCGATCAACCCCAGTGCCTTCACTTCAGACCTCAGATCATCAGTGCATTCACTTCAGACCTCAGCATTCACTTCAGACCTCAGATCAGCCCCAGTGCATTCACTTCATACCTCCGATCAGCCCCAATGCATGCACTTCAGACCTCCGATCAGCCCCAATGCATGCACTTCAGACCTCCGATCAGCCCCAATGCATGCACTTCAGACCTCCGATCAGCCCTAATCCATACACTTCAGACCTCCGATCAGCTCCAGTGCCTTCACTTCAGACCTCCGATCAGCCCCAATGCATGCACTTCAGACCTCAGATCAGCTCCAGTGCCTTCACTTCAGACCTCCGATCAGCCCCAATGCATGCACTTCAGACCTCCGATCAGCCCCAACGCATTCACTTCAGACCTCAGATCAGCCCCAACGCATTCACTTCAGACCTCTGATCAGATCCAACGCATTCACTTCAGACCTCTGATCAGATCCAGCGCATTCACTTCAGACTTCAGATCAGCCCCAGTACCAGTACATTCACTTCACTCAGATCTGCCCCAATGCATGCACTTCACACCTCAAGGTCAGTCCCACTACATACACTTCAGATCTCAGATCAGTCTCAATGCACGTACTGAAGACCTCAGGTCATCCCCAAACCATTTTGCACAGCACACCGATGTCCTCAGCCACCACTGAGCTTTCATTTACGTCAGGGAGGTGGGTGGGTCAGGCTTTCTAATTGACAGCCTAGTGAGCTGTCAATTACAGCCAGTAGCAGTGGATGCCAGCACAAATGTCATTGTGTTCTGGGGGGGTTGCTGGTGCCTGACTTATTTTGTACATTATATAAAAGCCAACACGTTGTGGGAATTGAAGGGGTACACGGTTAAACATTAACCATTATGATCATTTTAACTGGCATCTGGAGTGATCATACTTGATAGCCTCTCGAGAGAATCGCAAGACTGGCTGTACATAATTACAAATCCTCTGGCAGATAAAACCGTAAAACAATATAAATAATATATATGCAGAACTACAGCAGATCCCATCATTCCAATAATGTACCCTCCGCCTGCCTGTGGCCATCCTCATGTTTAAGCATTACTGCATGGATTCCTTTTTGAATTTGATTTATTCTCTCAGATGAGGATGTTGGAGTGAAAAGCCTTGCCTTTATCTAGATTAGAAAGGGCCCCACATAAAAAAATGTTTGTATTTCAGTCGGCGATCTGATCACAAGAAATCATTCTTGATGGTAACTTGCTGTTTCTGCGTTTTTCAGTCAGCCTTGGGTAACTGTTTGCCAACAAGAAACTTCACACAGACTTTACATAATCAGTAAGATGAAATATTCTGATGAGGAAGAAACAACAGATAAAGATCTTAGCTCTCTCATGCTTCAGCCCTTCTAGGCATCGGCAAGAACTTTTATGAAAACAAATTGACAAAAATAAAGCCATCCGGTAACATGGATGTTTGAAATGGGTTTAAATGAGTTCTATGTCAGTTATAAAGTAATAAAATAGTTTTTGTTTTTTGTTTTTTTAGGGTCAGAAGGAATACAGTCGGGCACAGTCCCAGTTAGCCCCCAGCTGGATTGTTGAACCCCGAGAAGATGCAGTAATTGTGCTGGATAGAAGACAACTCAGCAGAGAAGGATGAACAGCGAGGAAGAGTTTTTTGATGCCATTACAGGTAAGTGATCATGTTTCAGGAATATATATTTTTTTTCAATAAATGCCATGTTTTCAGGTAGGCAGGAAATATGGAAACGACTCCTTTTGAAGCCCAACTCTAGGTACTACTAAACTACTTTCTTTCCTAGTCTTGGCTAGATTTTGAAAGGGATAGCACATCCATTGGGACATTTTCTTCTGTTCATGTTCTATCCCAGGGGTGGGCAAACTTTTTGATTTGAGGGCCGCAATGGGTTCATATATTGGACTCGGGGGCCGGACCAAGAGTAGATAGATAGTAATTCATCCCCCATATAGTAATTCATCCCCCATAGTAATTCATCCCCCATAGTAATAATCTCCCATATAGTAATTCCCATCCCCCATATAGTAATTCATCCCCCATTCATCCCCCCTCATATAGTATTTCATCCCCCATATAGTAATTCATTCCCCATATTAATTCATCCCCCATATTAATTCATCCCTCATATAGTATTTCATCCCTCATATAGTATTTCATCCCCCACAGTACTATTCCCCCCCAAGTAGTAAGCCAAGTCCCCCCTGTGTCAATTCACTTACCTTTGCTCCGCGTGTTCCTCTCGCCGTGTTCCCGCGCCGTTCCGGTCTTCAGGGCGGACTGTGAGAGGAGCCTAGCTCCCTTCATGTTCGTCACGCTGCCCCGCCTACACACATCCTGACAGCCAATGTTTGCCTGCCCTGGCTGTGTTTTTTTTTTAGCACGCTCCGCGGGCCGGATTAAAAGGTCCGCCAGGCCGTATACGGCCATTGCTGTTCTATCCCATATCTATCATCTAGAGAGGAAGTGAAAAGAAATCTCCCACGTGGGTGTCAGGGCTCCAGGTATGAACAGAGGGGTGTGGACTGACACAGGGAAACGCAGGCTTCAGATATGTTATAAACAATATAGTTTATTAAGACTAACAATACAAAACACAGTGCAAAACTAAACCTAAACACAGTGCAAACAAACCAAACCACCCACAGATAACAATACATACAATGCAAGAGTCGTCGGGCAGGCCGGGTCAGTAGCAAAAACGGAGTACCAGGAACAGACGGGAGAGTGGTCGGGGTCACAAGCTGGGTTCAGTAACTCACGGGCAGCGCGGTACAGAGGGTCAGGCAGAGAATGGTCAGGGTCACAAGCCAGGGATCAAACAGGAGAAGTCAGCAGAGGTCAGGATCAGGCAGGGTCGGCAACAAGTCAGGCAGGAACAGGACTACAGGATACAAGATACAGGGGCCCATGAAAAAACACACACCAAGGCCCTGACTGTGAGTCTGGCCATTCCTTAAATACAACCCCTGCAATCAGCTTCAGGTGTTTGGCTGATTGCAGGGGTGAGTCTCTGATTGCTGAGAGCACCCGCTGGCCAGCCCTGGTACTGCAGCCCACAAGGCAGGTGAGTCCCACCATTATTGGCAAGTCCATTCCTGACAGTGGGTACAGAGAAAGTACTGAGAACCAGCAAACACAAATGCTCCTGCGCTTGGGGATGGACTCGATGCAGGCTACAACCACATTAAGAATGTCCTGGAATATGCACACCTTGCTGCCCTCAAATAGACGGGGGAATCCAAATATACTGAATGAGGAAAGAACAAAGAGAAGGGCGCACAGGCCTAGCGCATTACCATAAAAAATGTTTAATGAGAAATAAAGTAGGTGTTGTACTCACAAACGACAATAAAGTCAAGGCACATCATAAAAGAACAGCTGGATCAACAGTCCGCAATAGGGAGTGTAGACATCCAATAGGCTGACACGTTTCGAGGACTTGCCTCTTCCTCAGGGAGAAGTCCTGGAGGCGAGCATGGGAGGAAGTGACACAGGAACTAGTGAGCAGAAGGTCTTGGGAGGATCGAAGAGAGTGGTTTGGTTGATATTTTGAGACCAGGTTGGTGATGTAACTGGGGGCAGAGTTGTGGATGGCTTTGTAAGTTGTTAGTATTTTGAATTTTATTCGTTGAGCAAGTGGAGGGATTGGCACACTTGATTCAGTAGGCACAAACATGCCATGGAGCTACAGCTTTACTTATTCAAATTATTTGTGTGGATATAACCGTATCCAGTAGTCTTGTCAGGAAGAATAAAACTGCTGCTAAGCCCCCCTCAAAGTCTAGACCGTGTGAATCACATGGTCTCTGGCTAACATTGTGGATGTTTTTGGTTATTAGAGACTGCAGATAATTTGTAGTAAGCCATATACACCAGGCATGTCTGTCTTTTTTAGGCCATGTGCATCTCCCACGCTTCCTCTTTGCAGCCCTCAGGTGAATTTCAAATGAACAAGGCCCCTGCTGTTCCCAGTCTACACTTCCTTACAAATATTCATGGTGTAAAGTGTATTTAAATCTAAACCTTCTTTCCCCCCCCTCTCTCTGCCCCCCCCCCCCCTCTCTCTCTCTCTCTCTCTGATATAACTGCTACAGATTCATACCTGATACAGAACGAAAATCCAGTGAATGAAAGGGGTGGGCTTGGGACAGTCAGGCTGGGGAGGAAAGTACTAGATGATTCTGAACATTGACCAGATAATGAGGTGGACTCTATCTGACTTGATGCAGCTGCTGATGCACACATACTCATGTCTATGCTGCAGCATTGGTATGATGCTGCAGTTGTCCCTTGTCTGTTTTAAGACCGAGCACTGAGCGATCACATGACCACTGATTTCTCAGTTCCCAAGCTGTCAGTCCCACTCTCTGCTCTGCTCCTCCTTGGAGCTCTGAGCTGGGGGGGAGAGGGCGGGTGCAGCTGGCTCTGCCTTCTCAACCTTACATTGAGAGGCAGGGCCAGCTGTCAGTCTAGCAGCTGGGTGGATCCTAACAATAGTGTCGGGATCCCTCCAGAGCCTGGAGTGGCTCTGCCATGTTAGCTGGTAGCAGGCTTATAGTCCACTGTCAGCTGACCCTGGGTCACAGGAATGCTCCTGTGACCTACAAGAGAAAAATGGACTAAACGTTTTTGCTGTACTTCTTTTTTTAAAGTATCTCTAAAACCAAAACTTAGTCATTCTGGAGTAGGGAAGAATTTAAACCCCGTCAGATTTTTTTTTTTTTTTTTTTTTTGTCCTATAGGGGAGATTTTCCGTCCCATTCCATTGACACAATAGGAAGTGATCTCTCCAGAGTGAGGGAAATCTATTTTGGAAGCTCCAGATTTTGCCTTCACTTTCAGTCCCAGCCAGGGGCGGACTGACAACTCATGGGGCTCCCAGGCAATAGGGGATCATGGGTCCCCTGTGTCCTTGCCCAAACTCAAAAAAGCCTATGAAAAAGGTACCAGGGGCATCTCACGGGGCCCCCTACTGACCCCGAGCCCTTGGGCAGTGCCTGAGTTTCCAAATGGTCAGTCCGCCCCTGGTCCCAGCATTAGGAGTCACCAGGACAAGTAGAATAGAATAGGGGCAGCACAATGGCTAAATGGTTCGCACTTCCACCTGGCAGTACTAGGGTCGTTGGTTCGAATCCCAACCACGGCACCACCTGCCTGGAGTTTGCATGTTCTCCCTGTGCCTGCGTGGGTTTCCTCCGGGTACTCCAGTTTCCTCCCACACTCCAAAGACATGCTGATAGGTGAATTGGATCCTGTCTAAATTGTCCCTAGTATGTGTATGTATGGGAGTTAGGGACTTTAGATTGTACGCTCCTTGAGGGTTAGGGACCTTAGATTGTACGCCCCTTGAGGGTTAGGGACCTTAGATTGTACGCCCCTTGAGGGTTAGGGACCTTAGATTGTACGCCCCTTGAGGGTTAGGGACCTTAGATTGTACGCCCCTTGAGGGTTAGGGACCTTAGATTGTACGCCCCTTGAGGGTTAGGGACCTTAGATTGTACCCCCCTTGAGGGTTAGGGACCTTAGATTGTACACCCCTTGAGGGTTAGGGACCTTAGATTGTACCCCCTTGAGGGTTAGGGACCTTAGATTGTACGCCCCTTGAGGGTTACTGACCTTAGATTGTACGCCCCTTGAGGGTTAGGGACCTTAGATTGTACGCCCCTTGAGGGTTAGGGACCTTACACCCCTTGATTGTACACCCCTTGAGGGTTAGGGACCTTAGATTGTACGCCCCTTGAGGTTTAGGGACCTTAGATTGTACGCCCCTTGAGGTTTAGGGACTGATGTGAATGCACAATATATATGTAAAGCGCTGCGTAAATTGACGGTGCTATAGAAGTACCTGAAATAAATAAATAATCCGTCTCAACTCTAATCAAAACCAAAATAAAAAGTTTCAGACTTAGATACACATTAAAAAGTAATTTAATCATCATCTGAGCTTTAAATAATTCCTCGCTAGTAATTAGGCCTGAGATTTTCTGTATTTATCTGTCCGCTGAAAAATAATTTATTATCTTCTCAATGAAAAATACATGATACCTCTGTTGTTTTCATATCCTTATGGCTAATCTCATGCCCCCCGCTCAGATGTCGTCCATCCGTGCCTCCCTCTGTCATAGTCTATACATTTGTAGATATTATCTGCAGCTCACCAAACACAGGCCTCACTTTACTTTAACAAGCTCTGAATATTCGGGGTAAAGTACAGCACTCGTCACTTCTTGTCAGAAAATGCAAAACGGGTAATAAATGAATAAGTAAACCAACTATTTAGCATTTGTAAAAAGAATTTCAAACGCCGATCTCCGTCCCCGAATAATAATCTCATCTCCTAAAAAAACAAAATCTGTTTCCAGAGACGACTGTAGAATTGTTCGAATTAATGCGTACTTTGGTGCTGAGCTGCCCCCCAAAAGACCTTTTGTTTTGGCTTTGGGTATTGCTACTTTTTATTAGCATTGAGCTTTTTAAGAGGTGCGCTGCTTAATATTTTATTCGCTTATTTTGCAAGTTGTAAAAGAGCTTCCAAATAAATGCTGTAAAGCAGTGGTTCTCAACCTTTCTAATGCCGCGACCCCTTAATACAGTTCCTCATGTTGTGGTGACCCCCAACCATAAAATTATTTTTGTTGCAACTTCATAACTGT